CCGGCCGCGCCGATGGGGTTCGACTGAAGATCACAGACAAAATACGACTATCTAACGACTTATTATCAAGTCTAATTACCGACCAGGCAGGGACAAGTTCGGCCTTACGTCTAATAATAGTTATTTTCATGTTAAAAAAGTAATCAAATTATCAGCAAGCTTTTACATGAGTAGGATTGAAGCTGAGTGATTGTACGTTTTTATTTCGGTCCTCAAAGTTTTCACATAACATGTGCGCCCTCGCACGTTTTTTTTTTTTTTTTAAATGAGGTCTCGGTCTCGGACTATCAGGTCTCGGTCTCAGTCTCGGTCTCGGATGGGGAAGTCTCAGTCTTGGTTTCGGTCTCGGACTATGAGGTCTCGGTCTCGGTCTCGGACTTTGAGGTCTTGACTCCAACACTGGTGGACAGCCAGTAACTTAACTCCTCATATTATGGGGCAAATTAAACCAGTTAAATCCCTTGTTTTTCTATTTTGTTAGGCAAATGTGATACTTGCCGTAGCGCTCTCAAGTTTCCTGAGGCTACGTTTTCCTGACTAAATGTAACATCAGTGGGGAGCTAATTTTTATTATTCAAGTTTATTTATGATAAAAGGTTTTATACTCAGCCTGGAAGGGGATATTTGATCTGAGTCTGTTGCATATGATGATTGATGGGTGGGTCCACCCATCGGAGACAGCATGTCTGGTTATTAGGGGGCCTGACCAGGCGTCCAGGGGCACAGGATTGCCGTCACATCATCATCATCATTAATCTATTTAATAGCCAATCTTGGTATGTGGGGCCTCTGGTCACTTAAGCCCTCTTCACACGACGACGCCAAAAAAATCGCAATGATTGAGAGATTTTCTCAATGATTGAGAAATATTACAAAATGGCCATTGTGTGAAGGGAATTAACCAATGCTCGAGAGTGACCAGCTTCCTTGTGAATTTCTCTCCAACATAAATTGAGACATTTTGGTGGAGGTCCTGACCTGCGACAAAAATTACGCTAGCGGAAGTTTTCTCACGGAATGCATGCGAAACCTTTGTGTGCAACTGAGCCTTGTGAAGAGTATCAGCTAGTGAAGAACCTTGTGAAGAGTATACAGCTAGCTGTGTACGTGTGCAATTAAAGATGGCGAATTTCAGTATGCGGGCGATCATGTACAGGCCCGGTTCCAAAATCCACTTTTGAATTATTTGGCCTACCAAACTAGATGACGACATTAAAAACATACATGTAGGGCCTATGTCATTGATAGAGGGCATGGTTTTATATTTGTGAGGGAATTTGGGGGTAACTAATTATGACGATGACATTGAGAAAACGCACCACGAAAATAAAGATGGGAATCACCGGGCGATGCACATGAGCATGAAAATCACGCTACATGGCTCCAACCGGCCCGTAAACCGCGTGGGAAAATCTTCATTTCTACCCCAAGAAACTGTTCAAAATTACCAAAAAGTATCACTACATTGAGAGAAGTCTGCTTTAGGTTGGCAATATGTCATTGTTAAGGAATAAAAAAAACATTCTTGATTCTTATTTGACCAAAACAAAACAGGGGCCCTACGCTACACAATCACTAGTGTTCTTGATACATTTCTTGAGCTCATTACATCACCGCAAACAAAAGAGACAGCTGAAAATTCAGCGAGAAAAAAAGGCTTCCTTCCTGGAGAAGGTATTGCCATGCATTTTGTCTTCTTTTCTGTCGAAACCTTCCGTGGCATTGCTTTCCGCGGGCCGCTTCTTCCCCGATTTTTCTGTGTTTCTATGGTCGGTAATTTTGCAACTGCAGCTCAGGGAAATAAATTTGCGCTACAGCACTGGTACTAGTTCCATTTATCATTGCAAGTCCCACAGTGTAGCTGCAACCAGCGAATTGCGCGATGTTCTCTCAAAGATCGATCTCGGTTTTGCGCTCGGTGTCGTGTGAAGCCTTGCGAATGTAGTGGAGCACGTAATGATAAGATAAACAATCAGCGCTCGTAAAATGAGTCTCAAACATTGTGAGTTTTTTTCATTGTCGTGTGAAGAGGGCTTAAAGCATGCTTGAGGCAAGCACATGGTCACTTGGTCACAGCCAGTCACCAAGACAGTACTCAGTGGAAGTTTCCTTGCAAATTTTTTCCCACCACCACCACTTTTCATCCGCCAGTTATAGGGCTCCAAGGTGGCATTTTGCTTATAAGTTTTCATTCCAATATAGTGCTCGCAGTTGTCATGAGACTATATTAATTACAGTATTAAAATAATGGCATTTTTTTAGGATACAAACAGCCATTAACTTAACTCCTCATATTATGGGGCAAATTAAATCAGTTAAATCCCTTGTTTTTCTATTTTGTTAGGCAAATGTGATACTTGCCGTAGCGCTCTCAAGTTTCCCGAGGCTACGTTTTCCTGACTGAATGTAACATCAGTGGGGAGCTAATTTTTATTATTCAAGTTTATTTTTTTTATTAATGGCCATGTATCTCATTTTCATACATGTATTTCATTTATTGTCAAGTATATCGTGTATGCCGCTGTGGCTTTGGGCCTCTGGTGTACGTTGCCCACTTATGGTCGGGCCTGGTGTTGCCCATAACTGTGTTATGTGTTTGATAACATTATGTCCGTTCTCACATGTGAACTCCATTTTGTAATGTCTGTAAAATGTTTGTTGTTAATGTATGCCGCTGTGGCTTTGGGCCTTTGGTGTTGCCCATTATTATTACAAAACAATTACAATTGGCAATTCAACCGGTTTGCCCTATCACTGGTATCCGGAATAAAACACTCCTCTGTGGCTGCATGTGGCATAAACACAATGATTTGTTCCCATGTCCTTCAATTCAAGTCTGAGTATAAAAACGCTCATTACATGAAATACTGTGTTACGATTGGCTTCTACCGAAATCGGTAGAAGCCAATCACAGCGAAAATTAATTTCCATAGACTGTGTACAAACGTGGAACAAACCAGCGCGTACGCTTGGCAGATTGACCAAATCTGGGTTGCTGCATCACTTGAAAACAAACATACGTGTACATGTACGTTTTTAACATGATGGTCCGGATTTGACGCATGAAGGCGCGCGTTATATTGTACTGTAAGGACGTATATGCGCGATATACGCTAGTGATGTGAGTGGATTTACTATAGGCACAGACCGAGCGCAACCCAGACTTGGCCAAGTCTATCCAAAAAGTAACTGGTGTAATTATTGTTGAAAAACATACTTGGTTGAAAGATAGTAAGGGGAATAAACTCCCTGTGAAATTATTCTTTCTGGTAAGCTGTCAATTTGAAGAAATCAACGAAAGAGTTCGTTTTTTTTTTCGGCGAAACGCACGCAAGCGTTAACACAAAGCACATGCACGCGTGGTTGCTATAATTCGTCAGATCTGTGCGCGACATCTCGTAGCTGCAATCGGCTAGTGAAAACATGTCTCGGACGCTGAATTCAGGCCCAATTCAAAACATGATTCAGCAACTTTTGATTTGAAATCGAGATCCTAGAATGTTGTTTTTCTTGAAATATACAGCTGAAGCTGAGATGAAACTTCAACAGGTTAGTTGTTCAGCACCCTTCTTTGGATTTTGAGCACTTTTGTTGCTTCAAAATGAACAAAATGCACAAATTACAAATGATGGACTATATACCTTTAAAAAAAATTGCTGAAAATTCAACTGCGACAGATATAATCAAGATTTGGCTATAAATAACACAGTTAACCTTGCTCTTGAGCTTTCTTGTAATGACGTCACGATGACGTCATCAAGTATCATATTACAAGCAAGCTGAGATAATTTCTAGATTTAATCTTTGAAAATCAATATACAATCTAATGTTAGAGATTTGATTTTTTTTTTATGGCAATCGATGCAATATTTGCAGGGTCTTCATTTTTGGTATTAAGTGCAAAATCACATGACCATTCCTTCCGATCCAAACTGGAAGTGCCTTATAATTTGAAAGTGCAAAATATGTGAACTTGTGTTTCAACGATGTTAGTTCCCGGTGAGGTTATAGTTTACAAACAAATACCAGTGACGTCTTAAAATATTAGAGCGCCCTCTAACAGCAGGTTGAAAAAAAATGTCAAAATGAATTTCAGTTGATGTGTGTGGCGAAGTTTGGGGTAATCAGATATGATGACCTTTATGCAGACAAAACCTGTGTGCAAGAACAAATTGATGACGACATCATACCAGAAGATAGAATGAAAAGACTCTTTTCCTTTGTCTACTCAATAGTGTTTGTTTATAACCCTGAGAGTGATGAGACTACAAAACAAAACTGTGTTTTGTGTTTTTGATCTACATATGGTACACTTTCACTACACATTTGCCTTTGACAATTCGTTGCAGAGCTGACATACCGACTAATAAGCAAAAACCCTGTTTCGAGTAATAATGAACTTGGACATTTTTCTGGGCGTCGTATTTAGGGGCAATGATCTTCCGCGATCGCGGAAAACGGACGGAATTCGCGGAATCTGCTCCTCGATACGGAAAACTGAATTTGAATTCTGAAGACTGAAGCAAATAACTTCTGCAATTTTATTGATAAAACACATAATTTCGTAAAATTTATGAGACCAAAACGATTTGTTGATGAGTGATTGCAAAGATGAGCCATACAACAAATGAGCGTTGTTGAGATCACGATTGTTGGGGGAGAAAATTCCATTCAAGATCAGAGTAATAAATGTTACGAGATCATATACCAAAGTGACAGACCCGACGTACACCATACATGGTACATGCCGTAGCTGTCAAATCAAATTTTAATCTACAAAAAGTGCTTGGAAAAAAACACACACTTTTCCACTCCATACAAAAAAAATCAGGTTTTTCACATGTTGTTTGTGCAATTATTTGAAGATGGTTGACGCTTGAATGGTTTCTATTGCAATTTGTTCTCTCGAAGTCAAAACTTAAATTGACCGGACTAATAGTTTTACAAGCATTGATAATAAGTGAGTTTAAACTCAGCAATGATTACTTAAAAATATATTACCTGGTGTCTTGGTCTTCCAACAATGGAGGGAAAGACTGCTCTGGGTGCATCATCACCAGCAAAACCACCTTTACACATACCAGACCCATTGTCAATCACCAATGCAGCAATATCATCATCACACATTTTGAGAAATGAGACAAACTTGGTACTTCGTTAGACAGATCTCCTAGAATGATTCACATAAAAATAAACAAAAGAGAGAATTACTTGCTTGTTCCATGCAGTTTTATAAGTTCATTTTTAAAATACAATGTACAATATTCCTCTGCGAATGGTTCTATGAGTAAGAAAGTTTGGACTACCGGTACTTGGACTACCGGTATTTCACATGGACACCTGCAGTTGATGACACCCCAGCGGAGAATTATGACACTCTGCTAGGAGTGTGTGCTAAATATGAAAGCTACGCCCACGTGGCACCAACGAAAAATCAGATCAGAGCTACAGTAAATTTCCATCACAGAAAACAACAAGATGGTGAAAAATTTGATGCATTCATCACTGATCTGAAAATTCTAGTCAAGGACTGCGGTTACACCGATGAGGACTGCATGATCCATGATGCCATTGTATGTCATGTCTGGCATATCAAAGTCTGACAAAAGTGTCTTGACAAAGGTGATCACCTGACTTTAGACATAGCAATAAGCATTGGGAAAAATCATGACACATCACAAGAAAGCCTGAAAGTCATCAGCAAGGAAGATGACTCGAAAGTCCATTCCATCAAGAAACACCACTTCTCGAAACCAGCTGAACAAACACGGAAAGGAGGAAAAAAAATTAAAAATTCACCCCCGACGTTCGCCAGCTGGCAAGACACCACAAAAGCACACCAAAAGCTACCAATGTGCCCAATCGAGTGAGCAACTATGTCACAAGTGTGGATATAGCTCAGCACATAGCAAGTCCCCAGCTAAAAACCAACGATACAGCAACTGTCCAACGTACAGATTTCGACATTAATCTGACGTCGAATAAAAGTTTAAATTGCGTCATGATATTAACAACCGAAATTCCATGTTTATTCAACGTCGATTTAGTAACGTACGTGTTCCACCATACACATTTTGACATTAATCTGACGATGAATAAAAGTTTAAATTGCGTCACGATATTCAAACCTAAATTCCATGTGTTATATGAAACTATGTCCATGCATTGCTTTGAAACCGAGTATTAATTGTCCTTAGGGAACATGCATCAACATCATATCAATTACGAATAATTTTAACTATCAAAGTGCAAAATATCATGTCAAAAAAATTTTTTTTTTAATGGCCGACTTAATTGTATGTGTCTCAGTCTTTTTATGATAACATTTATTAAGACCGCACATTTTTTGTCAGCACGACAAAGCTGTGATGCTAGCCAATCACACGGCGCGGAATTTGTAACCACATTCCAAGGTTGTGACGCTGGCCAATCAGTTTTCATGTACACTCTTGAATCACGATCGCGCGGTCAGCTCAGCAAGCCAAATGACCGTTACAATTTCGACATAAGCTACTGCAGTTGTGTGGACGTGTTGCGTGCAGCCGACATCATTTACCCAAATATCAGGTAAGAATTAAGCCATCAGAATTCGTAATAATTGTTATGATGTTGCTTAGACAAACCTGACGTTTATTCGCAGCACTTTACTTATTAATTGCAACAATGTCTCCCCCAAACGATGAACAAATATTGGCACATCACTGGAGCTGGGGACACCGGCCTGACTGGTCCCTGACGGATACCGGCGTCTCGGTACGTGCGCGGGAACCACCAATACTAGGCCTGGCAAGAAGTTGACCGCCGGGATCCACTCTGAACAATGTATTACTCAGCTCTTCTAAAATGGGTTATGAGGAAAGTTTGGAGAAAAATCCTAAGGAATAATCATCTGAACTGTATAGTATATGGACGTGCGACTCAAACTTTCGAAGACGATTGTTAACCACGAATAATAATATGCTCAGTTACTGGATTTCCTTCGTACTGAAAAGTTATTTCTGAGGAAATAGACATTGGGATATTTTTTCTCACTTGTTAGACCTTCACTATGGACATGAAATGCACGATGAAATATACTTAAACCTACCTGGTTACAATAATAACTGGGAAAAACATAAATCGATTTTATGTACTGTAGATTTTCAGTTTTCTTGTAATTTTCAGGCTAAAAACATGGATCGTCCAAAAGTGATTGCAGTATTTTTCTCTCGAGGTCAACTGGATTTCCTTCGTTTAGCCACACAGCGGTGATATAGGTCATGGGTCACGTACATTATACCGTATTATTTCCCCCCTGATTGTTAAACCAGGTGGGTTATCTTCCATATAGGGAATAGGCCTATCAAGTGGGGGATAAATACTCCCGATTTCGTTTTCACATATTGCTATCACCATCACCGCCCTGTCGCTCATGTACATGTACAACTTACAAGTCACAATATGGAGGAAGTTGAGTAATTCTTTGAATCTTGGTGTAAAATTTGCTGTGACTTTTGAGTGAAAATACATGAACACATAGTAAACACAAGTTTCTGTACCAAAACTTTAGGAAAATGCAAGCACGGATGATTATACCGATGTTTGTAGCTTATGCTGTGAATGGTGCAATAACAAAATGGACTGTGCAGTGTGCAGGGAGTGAGTAAATACTTAATTGTTTGGCCTAAGTAATCAATCATTGGGCAGGTGCTATTTCTACATAAACATTGCGTTTTTCTTTTGCGTGGACTTGGTTTGCATATTTTGGGGGGGGGGGTATGCAAAGTCTAAGTTGGAAGGTGGACTGGGAAGTTAATCTCACATTTTCAGCTTTTGAAAAAAACAAACATTTTTTCCTTTTCGAAATTCCAGGACAGTTACAAGAGCTCACAGATGACGAAACAGTCAGCACTGATGATTCATACAGGATTTGAGAAGCACCCAAAGTCAGCATGGATTGTCGAACCAGGATACTTCAGTTTGAAAGCTTTCGGACAGTACTCGCAGTGCAGTAGCTGGTATGCATGTGCCCACAAAAACATACATTCAGGGCTAAGCAATGACCAAAACACTTTTACAGATTATTTTATTCTCAAGTCAATAACACTTAAAGAGAGATGTAGCTCTCGAAAACAGGTTATTGCCATCCCTTTTAATGTTTCCCCTAACAGTACATTGTTGAAAGTGTATTTACATTAACATTTGCTTATTGTTGAAGAGATTCGATGAAACATTATCTTTTGGGGATTATTTGCTATGTTAATTAATGATTCACGTGTTCATATTTTTCAGATCTTGAGCTTGCGAGAGCCTGTGAGCAGATCTAGCCTATAGTATGCAAAGGTATACTTTTCAGAGAATATTGTGCTTTTGTTTGTCAAACGATATTAATTTGTTACTGTACTTGTGAAAACAACAGACACAAAGGACAGTTCATTCAAAAAGTTCGCAAAATATGAAAACAAGATTTGTGGCTATATCTTAATTGAATGTTGGCAGAAAATTTCGTCACAATCCACGGTATAATAACTGGTGTTTGTTTACACTCTTCAGTTACCTTTTTCCCCGATGGATTTTTACTTTTGTCTCTGAGAGTTACATTTTTTTCTCATCCAACAGGTGCAGTGATGGGCAAAATGGAACTGAAAGAAAGCAGTTAAGGATAGACAGGCTTTTTCAGTTTCGCAGGTAATGTGCCTTTCTTTGTCAGTTTAAGTATATTTCGACCAATTATTGTGCTGGTTCAGAAGTAAAATCACATATGGGTTCTTGGTTGTATGGTTGATAATCGCTGAAATGTCAGGAAAACAAGTGCTTGGCTTTACAAGTGCAAGTTTACTAAAATGCATCGTCCTATTGATTTTGTGTACACAAGTGCAGCATATAAAATGATGACCAGGCGTGTTGTTACTTTGTTCAAACTGTGCATGGTTTGTGAATGTATTTTTCTGTTTTATGGTTTTAACATTTTCGTTTTTGAGGGTGATTTGGCTTGTGTCAATGAACAAAGAGTTGGTTGGAGTGGGGGAGCCTGCAATTCTAAAACAATAATTATATCTTTTATTTGTCTTTTCTAGCGACGTCCTAACTTCGTAATGGCAAGGTGATGGATGTTGCTGCTTGTTGAGTTTTTCATGTCTTGTCAAGTTTGCGCCTGAAAGAAGAGGTGATGGAGGGACACACCCTGGGGCCTATGCACCTTCACGTTCAGTCGTACCTTTGGACTGTGTTAAATATTTCAATATTGGAACAGTTGATCAATGGTAATTGTTCAAATACAGTAAGTTGCTCTGGAGTGACTGGTATCTTTCCGTAAGTGTTCAACATATGTAAAGGCTTCTTAAGTGATGGAAATTTAACCTCTGCTGCATCTTATACCTTTCATCTTGAAACTTCTACATTCGAGAAGTATTGATAAATGTCCGTTGTTAATATATTGGTATAAGTAAATGTCAATTTAACATTATACACCACACTTTGGCCATATTACTTGTAAGAATAATCTAATTATCTATACTATCTACTCTATGCTGGATGTATCTCTAATTTGAACGTTAACTGTAAGTACACGATAGTTAATTTTGCATTAACTGTATAATCTTGCAAAGAACTCATAAGGTTCTATACATGTACAGTGTTCTAGCCAGGCATCAAATAGCGCTAGCACCCGCTATGCTTTCGGAAATAAGCGCTACGCTTAAATCGCGCCGCTACGCTACCGCTACACTATAAATTTTGGTTGCAAAAAAAAATATCTGCCGTTTGTTCGTATACAAGCGCAGCAACTTTGAGCATTGCGCACTGGCCGTATGACACAGCGAAAAATAAACAACGATCCCACCGCACGTACCCCGTACGATACCCCTACCGTGATGCTGCGCCACACGCATTCGCTATGATAGCAATAAGCACGTGCTGTTTTGTGCTGCGTAGATACAGCGCTCCGTACGAACGGACGTGGACCACACCATTTTGCATTATCGGGTGTGCTTTCCTAAGGTCAATATTTACAAGCATTTCAACTGTTTTAAAATAATAAATAATACTTTTTATCAAGTCCGAAACATATAACTGTTTGAAAATAAGTCCTTCAACGTCGGAACATAATTTTCGTAAAGGATTTATTCGAGAAACGATGTCCAAAGAAAGGTTAAGCACCCCTACGATATCAATGGATCCGTCCCCAAAGATGGCCGCACGTGAAGAATTCTTCTCGAAGAATGCCGCTGTCGAAAATTTGGATTTCTGACTACACTACTCGTTGCTGATAATAAAAGTTCAATAAGTTTGGTAGTAAAAACGGATCTGTTTGTTGTTAGGACAAAACCAATCAGGAAGTATTGCAACAAAACAAGTTTTTTAGCGCTCCACGAATGCGTAGCTTTCTCAAATGCTGAGGGAAGTTTGGTCACGTAGTTCGCCGGCGTAGCCGGTGTGGGCTGGCCCGCGCCGCGCCCGCACGCCGGGCCGGCCGGGGCCAGCCGCGGCCGGGATAGGAAGCAATTCCCGGTGATTATTTCTCATCGTCATTATCTACAATTATATTTTTTAACATAACAAAAATGAGATTTCTCCTTCACATTGTGTTGTAGCATATTGAAATTGCAATCGCCGACGACTTTTTATGTCTTAGAGTGAGACCTCCATGGTTTTACAATTTCTCTCCCTGCCGATCGGATGGTTTTAAAATCGGAACTACTGCTACTACGGCAGCGCTACACAACACAAGGCTTCTTGAAATATGAAATGGTCATGCGATTTGTTCTCACACTTATTTGACAAAGTAAATCCCAATTTTTTATAAAACATTGAGGAACTACTAAAAATGGTTAAACATCAAAAAGCATCGATCTTGGAACAACTAGTTATACATTGTAAATGTAATCTAAAATTTGAAAACAGAAGAAACTTTACAGGAGCAAGAGTATTAATCATTGAAACAAATAAAACAACATTTCTTATAATTTTAAACACTTCTGCTAAAAAAAAATCAGGGGAAAGTGGCAGGGAATCGCCTCAGATTGCACCACAGAGCATCTAGAGTCCAAAATTTTTCGGGGCCCTTAAGCGGGCCCCGGACCCCACGCCGTAAGGGCTTCGCGCTCCGCGCTCGCATTAGTCGCCGAAACAAAATTACCCCTACACTATAATTTCACCCTGGCTAGAACACTGTACATGTATTGTACATTATTTTAGATTCTATACTGTTGATTCTTGGTTGGCCTCGTCAAATGTTCAATTGAATCATTCAGAAGAATTTTGTATGAATAACGTTTTCTTTTCTTGTTTCTATGTGATAGTTTCTAATGCTCTTGCCCAAGTCTGCCGCATAACCTCTTGCAATAATTTAAGAAAATTCCTCTTCCTATGACAGAATAGTGCTACAGATAAAGTTTGAAAACACACATGAATTGGTTTCTTCCTTTTGTATTGGTATATGTGCAAATTAAAAAAACGAGCATTTAGATGTTTAAACAATTTACCTACCTATGTGCTTGCTACCTCTTGTAATATTTTCCAATTTAAATGCACAGGGCAGTATGGTATTTGTTTGAGAAAAAAATCAATTTCATAAGCATGTTCTTTTTTAGAGACTATAAGTCCCCTCATGCAGGCTATAATCGTGTTGGAACAAATCAATCCAATTCTGAATTTTACAATGTATGAAATAATTACTAAAACCTAACATGTGTTGTAAGCTGATGAAGTTTGGAAGTTAATAATAAATACATACAGTTTTTCATAGAAAACATTAAAGTGATTGATAAATAATTTCATTTAAATTTAACTTGTTATTCAATTCAACATGGATTTAACATCACTCCTCAGCTTGCAAATTTATTAAACATATAGAATGATTCGAAAATTGCCAACATCCACCATAAATTAGCAGTACACATCAGCTTTAAATCTTGATCCAAACACAAACCTTAATATGTCCATGTTGATTGAAGAATTGTATTTATTTAACTGTTGATTATTTATACGTTGATTCAATTTGCAATCCATCATCATCAATGTAGAGATGTCTACGTTAATTCAATGTTGTAATCTCCACATTGTTTCAATGTCGGCATTTCTACGTCAGATCAATTTGCCAATTCAATCATCATTCAACGTGGAATCAACGTAGAATTTCCAACATTGAATCAACGTCAAAGTGTCTACGTTGATCCAACGTTGTGATTTCCACGTTGGTTTAACGTTAGTATATCAACGTCAGATCAATTAGCAAATTCAATCATTATTCAACGTTGAATCAACGTGGAATTTTTAACATTGAATCAACGTTGAAATGTCTACGTTGATTCAACGTTGTAATTTCCACGTTGGTTTTACGTCAGCATTTCAACGTCATATCAACTTACAAATTCAATCATTATTCAACGTTGAATCAACGTAAAATTTCCAACATTAATTCAACGTTGAAACGTCAACGTTGATTCAACGTCAGAATTTCAACGTCAGATCAACTTTCAAATTCAATGATTATTCAACGTTAGTTCAACGTCGGTATCTGACGTTGTTTCACAGTAATTTTCAACGTATTTTGCCCGCTGGGATTTCTTCTGCCATAGTGAAAAAAATTATAACACATTTTTTTTCATATTTTTACCTGACGGAGGAAGCTGAAATTTCGCTAACATATTCTTTGTGTCCAGAATTGTGCCTGCGCTGGGTTTAGAATAGGCAAATAATTATGTCCGCGGGCGGCGTGTTTACCGAAAAATAAACTGCAATTCCACGCTTTCGTTTTCAGTACGAACTCCCCCGTTGAAGATTACGTGCGCGCGTGCATGCACACCAAGCACGCTGCCGCCACGGCAGCAAACGGCACATCCTCACGTGTACGTCTTCACACGGAGAGTTTGTACTGAAAATGTTTTCAACGAAATCGTGGAATTGCGGTTTATTTTCGGTATTAAAACACGCCGCCTGCGAACATATTTGCCTTTTCTAAACCCAGCGCAGGCACAATTCTGGACGCAAGGAATATGTAAGTGAAATTTCAGCTTCCTCCGTCAGGGAAAAATATGTGTTATAATTTTTTTCGCTATGGTGGTAGAATTTATACCCTGGACGTCAGTCGTGAATATGCAATGAAGACGTCATCCAACCTGGGCTAGTACCAATCATGCTAGTACTAGTACTAGGCCTAGTACTATAGTAGGCCCTAGTTAACTAAAAAAAAATATGCCAAAAAAAAATGATTTTGGTGGCTTTTAAAAAAATTCAGAGGTCATTTTTCACGGCCTCCGCCATTTTTCGACTGCTGGCTACAAACTAGATTGACCTCCAGCTCTAGGCTTCATGTCGAATTCCTGATGAGCATTGGAGCTGGAGTTTCTCAACACTGCTCAAGCTAGGTCTAGGCCTAGCCCAGGTTGGACGACGTTTTCATTGCATTAGGCCTATGACTCCGAAACGTAGGTCCACTCCTTTGCGTGTACACAACAAAGTCCAACCTGCACTCCTGCAGCCTAAATTATAGGGCTGGCTACAACAAAATCAATGTCATTAGAACAAATTGAAATTTCCTGAGCTACTTGCGCTGGCTAATAAACATGATAAAATAATGTTAAAAATTGCTATTTCTATTTCATGCTTAGCCTACACGTACCGGCATTTTGTAACACTTGATACCTGATGGAGTAGGCCTAGGCCCCTGCATACCTAATCCCTTTGCAGCCGCTAGCCGGTGACAGCTTAACTGTCATTGTCAATTGACATGCAGTAACATTAGCCTAGGTCTGTATAGCGCTTGTTTTCCCCCTTCAAAACAGTATTTTAACTTTTTTAAGTGGGTGCTGACAAAAGGTAGTTCGCAATCCTAATCCTATTGTATTGAGGCCTACTTCATTGTTACTTTATTTTGTAGACATCCTAGGCCTATACAAGTTACAACTTACGGTCAATATGGCGAGTCGAGCGCAGTGAGTAGTGGGCCGGCCTGTCGATCGATGTCGTCCTTGTAATGCAGCGATGATTCAATGTACGTACGTACGTACGTGTAGTATAAACGGTACGTATACGATCAGACGCGTGACGTGACGCGCACGAACACAATCCAAACAAAAAAAAACGCCTGCCGCGCGCGTGAGATGTTGTCACACGTACACGTACACTACTCGTGCCTTGCATCAGCGCAGTGCGCGCGATTTGTAATCGTCCAACTACCTAGAAAAGGTAGGGGTATAAACTTTGTTCACAAAACAACTTAACATTTTTACTTCAGTTCAGTTTAATTCTGAACATGCAGACAAGACCTATTAATTATGATACTTCACTATTAAACTACTGTAAGAGCAGTAATTAGCATTAGTATCATAATTATCTTTTTAATGCTAACAAAAAAATAAAAGTAGTGTTACGATCGATTTGTTTCTACTCCTCGATTAATACAATGGTACTAGCCGGTAGCGAACTACCATATTTGGTAATTATTTTAGAGGGCATCCGATCGATACGCCGCGAGATATTTTGCCACGCCTTCTTTGAAGTGTACGCGCACGCGGTGCAGGGACTGGTGTTCGCTTGTCGATCCCCCACGTATATACGACTATGTTTCAGCCGCTCATTTAGCATGCGCGCATGCGCACTCAAAGTACGAAATACTGATAATTAGCAAACATGGATGCCTGCAGACGCAGTTGGACAGGGGCGGATTGCAATAACCGGTCTTAAAGCTGTCTATGCGCATTAGACAGTCTAAAAGCTCTGGCTGTTAGTCAGTCTGTAAGTTAGACCATTGCAATGACACGGTCTAAGTATTAAGACAGTCTTAAAATAGTTAGCCTGGGTTGGGCTGGCTTAAAACGGTCTATAGTTGGGATTTTTGGAATTCATTGGTGTGTTGAATTATTCTTTCTCAAAATATTTTTTTTTACAGTTGATGAGTGTTTGATAATTAAATCTTAAAATAGCAGAACACTGCTTGGAGGGAAAATTCTCTGGGATAGAAGGGATCTTCTGGAAAAATGTAATGACACTGAGTTGTACTGCAAATACAATTTTCCGAACATAAAATTTCGGAATTGACATTTGACTTTGCATGATATGAATCACACAAACCTAAAAAAAAAATTGTGCAGTCTCTCCAGTATTCGCCCGTAACCATGGAATGTTTGTTTGTGAATCATTACTCTAAGCGGGCTTAGTAAAGACCAGCTTATTGCAATGGGCTAAGTTTGGTGTCTTAACCAAGACCGTCTAAGAACAATAGCCGGCTAAAATCGGACTGGTTTAGCCAGCCGACTAAGACCGCGTTATTGCAATCCGCCCCAGATCTCTATATAAAGACTGGATAGCGGATATGCATACAACCATTGATCTCCATGGAGATCAATGCATACAACCATTGATCTCCATATACACAGTCTGTGTATATGGAGATCAATGCATACAACATTCACACAGTAGACTTTGCATATTGACCAATTCGCCCCGGTCTCACGAAGATGGCCGCGTATAATACGAACGTTCTACGCGTAAATACGCGCGCGTTGTATCAACAGTTGACGCGCATTTTGGTCACGTACACATATTATGATGTTCTAAAAGGAACACATTTCCGTAGTGATTATTATTTCAAAAACGCCGAAAAAGTGATTTGCGGCATTATAAAAGTAACCACTACGTTAGAAAAATTGTAGTAAACCTTGGTCAGTTGGTCAGTGGTGGTGGCCAAAATATAAGTCAAGTGAGCCGCGACGTTGCAAAAGAAATCAAGCTGTCTATAAAGACGGCAACTTGTCCTTTGTAGATCACCAGCTGGTCTCACCAATATGGCGTCAAATTCGTACATTGTGCGGCTCTTTATTAGCTATCCAGTCTTTATATAGAGATCAGTGAGTTGGACCCACTGAAGTATCGGTCAACATCACGCTCGAATAACTTTGATATTTTTTTTCTTTCCACGTGGACAGGAATATAAGGCAATCAATGTCACTTTTGCAAACCTTTGCGTAAAAGCAGAGAGTATTTGCTGTCAAATTTTTGTTCGTCCGTGTCGTGTAGTACAAAAGTATTGGGTCACAAATTTAAAACAGGCGACAGTTTAGGGGATAATTTTTCAGTTTTGCCGAGTAACTGTAAACTTGTCTTCAATGACAAATGATAAAGGATGCCACGGAAAGTGCGATGTATAAATATCATATAAGTCGGAAACCGTTTGAATGGGAAAAGTAAGGTCTTACGTTATACGTTTTTACGTTGAATGTAACGTTATTGTGCCCAGTCCGTTTGTAATCTCTGGACTGTACTTTCGGTGTTGGAAATGTATACATAGCTTCGCTCGTACCCCCCGCCCTGCAAACAGGACGCTGGGATACTCTGATGAATTCATGCTCTGATTGGTTGGATTTTGCGTGACCAGTGACCTGCGCGTCATCAAGGTCGTGACTCTGCAAGGTTTGAAACGGCCGTTAAGACTGATTCGTTACACTGTTATTCCAGTTTAGAGATGTTTTTTTCTGGTTAGAAAAGCGTTTGTAAAACTTATCTGTGTTGTAAATTTACAATTCCCGTCACTCGCTCAGGCTCCGTTTCGAGTCACAAGCGGTCGGATTGCATTATGCGACGCTCACAATTTTGTCCGCATGGTCCGCAATGAAACAGAAATCACATCCGGTATGGAACGCGCGTCATTCCATGGGAAGTTTCGGATAGCATTTGAGCACATTGCCAAAATGCGGTCTTGAACAGCTGCAGCCAGATACTTTATACATAGGTCATAGTAGGCCATTTCCTTCACAAGATTCTGTGAAGCTCATCAGAGTATCCAACCTCGTCCCGAGGGTGTCGAGCAGTACGCGCCCACCACCACCTGCTCTCTGGAAACGCGGTTGGAAATAAAGTAAGCACTGGTGACGAGGTTGGGTAGCCTTCAGTAATACATTGTATTACAATTTACGTCACGTGACTAAAACGGGAGGAATTCCTCCATTTTCCGAAAGTGTCCGAAGTTTGCCGAATTCGTTTCGTCGACAATCGGATAGCGCCCGAGTATTTCGGAATATTATATAGGTTTTATTAACTGCTAATTGCTCATTTAAAACTTAAAAAAAAAAAATGAGTTGAGAATTAATATTCATCGCTTTCATTTAGAAAACTTTAAAATTCAACGACGATTTTGTACATCAATACTCGGATCGTATACGAGCTAGGGGCGAACTTTTTGCCGCGTCAAATGTACTATTTTGAATTTGACAACCGTTACCAGGATTTTCCAAAACTCGGCATGGTCGCCATTCGGCTCCCCCTGCTAACAGTGCTAAGTTGGTGATGCATATAGTACACAAGCTGATGTACTCGATCATAGATCGGGTAGGGCGTAGTGTTGGGGATGAAAATGTGGGGAGTTAGATATAAATGGGGAATATAGTTGGGGAGACATGCAGTTATAGAAAAGCAATTTCTGTGGTTTGATCTGAGGCAATTTCTGACCACTAAAACCAATTGAGCAAAAGATCATCTCTTAAAGTTTTGAGTAATTGAATCAGCCACATGTATTCTGAGCAATATAGTCATTATTGTAGGCTACGATTTTTATTCGGGGAAGAAAAAAGTGTGGGGGGGGGGGCGGGGGACCAAACAATGTCCCCCGCTTTAAAATGTGTGTGTGTGGGGGGGGGGGGGTGCATGGGTTCCCCCTATCCCCCGTCGATTAACGCACATGATAATTATGTACCATGGCAACTGTCTGTAAATGTTCCCGTTGGTCTGTTCAAAATTGGCATTTTGTGAGGCAGTCGCATTTGAAAAACGTAGTGAAAAGATATAGACGTAGTAGTACACGTTTTGATCCTCAAATTCAGCAAAAATAATGACACTTTTCGGCAGTTGCAGAATACAAAAAGTATACTTTCACCACTCATGAAAATTGTAAAGGTGCACAGTGTCCTGAAGACGTCACAATTGCATAAAAATCACCGACGTGTTAAAGTGGGTAAAATCATACCAACATTCGATACACAAAGAGTTTTGTTTATTGAAATATTAAAAAGACAAAAAAATAGTTTGCAAAGATTGGTGACCTAATAAACTAAACAAACGATTTCATGTTGTTCAGTCCCCAGGGTGCCGTTGGATAAAATGTATCCTTAATAATTCTGTGCCGCACTGAATTGTACGCTAACACTTCTCATATCGTGAACAAAATGCGAAATTATCGTTTCTAATTCTAGTAATAAAATACATAATAAAAAAAAGTATTTAAATTGCGCATAAATATTAGTCAAAATACAGTGTATGGTATTATATGTGGGTTATTAACGTTTTGTGTCAATTTTGGGGCGATTAATATTAATAAATGCAGCAGTTTTTGCGCAGAAGTATTTGCTTTATATTTTCAAGGTTGCCCCAACCCAGCCTTGACAAATGACCAGTAAATGCTTGAAATCTGAAGCATTTACTCCTTTTTGTTCATACGAAATGAAGTAAACACTTCTAGTCTAGCGAATGCTTTCCAGTAAAAGCATTTGCTTCATTTTTATTCATACAAATGCAAGTGAATGCCGCTTAAAAATGGGTAGTAAAAGCAAATGCTAGTTTTTATACATACGACCCAATAACTACCGCTATATGCTTTCCAAGCCACTCGCTTTCCAAGCCATAGCGTTTGCTATGCTGAACAGTCAAGGAAAACTTTTGTTCATGCGGAATCAAGCATTTGCCTTTCCTTAATGCTTGTACTGGGAGTTGTACTTACTTGTATAAAGCAAATACTTATGCGCAAAATGGCCGCATTTATTAATATTAATCGCGCCAAAATTAACACAAAACGTTATTAAACTACATATAATACCATACACTCTAGTTTGAATAACATTTATGCGAAATTTAAACTATTAGAAGTGATTACTAAAAGAAGTGATAATTTCGCATTTTGTTCACGATATGCGAAGTATAAGCTTAAAATTCAGTGCGGCGTAAGAATGGTGAAGGAGACCCAATGATTGGGTCGTATATATAACACCTCAGCAAATGCTAGGAAGTTTAAGCAAAAAGTAAGCATTTACGTCGGAGAACAAGCATTAAAGAAAGGCAAATGCTCGATTCCGTATGAATAAAAGTTTTCCTTTACTGTTCAGCATTTACTAGACAACAGGTAGCAAATGCTTCTTACTATTTGCACCGCTGTGGACGTAGAGGGCGACTGACTCAATGTCAGTCGCGATTCTGGCGGCTCGCAGCTGGACGTGTTTTGCTCGAGGCTCAAGAACTTTAAACCCGGTACCATCGGGTTGGGGAATTCCGAAGATTAACATGAGAAATGGAAAATGCTCACAGCAGGAATCCATGGAATTCGTTGGAATACACGGGGTGGGGCTTTGTGTTAAGCCGAGAAGAACTTTATGCATCAGTGCTCAGCACTTCATCACTTTGC